GAGGGATATGTTCATTACGTGATGTATAGAGAATCCTGTCATCGTTTAAAGAAAGAAATCCCTTTAATAAATAGTAGACTAAAAAGGAAAAAAAAAACCCCACAAAACACAGTTTTCCAGAAGAAGTTACTTTTTACTTCATCCAGGGAGCTTGGAAAAGATAATTTTATTGATTTGGCACACAAAAATACTTATCAAATACTTATCATAGACTTAGCATGTAACCATTACTTTAGGCATTCCATCCAGCTAGACTGACTCTAATGCCGTCATGAATGAAGACTGTGGAGGTTTCTCAAGATGAAAACAGCCCATTAAGGAGTGATCTGAACCAATTTCGAGAAGCAGAGCCTGAGACCTGGTCTGTGAAACTTTGGCTAGGAAAAAGTTCACTTAGCGCTGGGCATATACCAGCTCCGCAGGCCCCAACTTTATTAGTCTGGAGATAAGCTGATTAGGTCTTGTCAATCAAAGGTGCCCATATCTCAATTGAGAGACACACACTCTCTCCATTTTTCTTTAAGCATTGAAGCAGGCAACAAAGAGAGAGATGTGTGGTATGCATCCCTACGGTTGTCGCCATGCAGGGTGCAAGGGTCCTGTGATGATGTGATGACTGTATTAAAGAGTACATCAATTTGTTTTAAAGTGTTTTGATTTTTTATGGTGGCATTAAGAGAGAGAACATTGTGGTTGCAGCTTTACTAGAAAGCAAAGAGTTCTAGAAGAAGAAAAAAAAAAGTGTCTCTTTGAAGCCTACCAGGGCTTTGAATCTTGCTGTGCCAATGGGCGCTTAAGTGTTCCTGTAACTGGCAACCTCAGATCCACCATCAGCTTAGGAACTACCTTCCTCTCCAAATTATTCATGTAGAGGAATAGGAGGAAATGTTTAAATTGACCTAAATGATAGTAATGTTTATCAACCCCAAGTTTTTATTTATTTTTTCTAGAGGATTTAAGATTTTGGGTGAACACACGACCTGTAATGATTATAGTGACGTACCTTGATTTGGTTGTAAAGAAAGAAATGCTGTTAAAGTTCCCCAAGCATAGATTGGTAGCATTGCTCCACTGAATTGTTTTAAACACAGTAATGAATGCCTTGCTTTACATACCTGGAAGGTAAATCTGACTAATAAATATAAGCCTGTCAAATGGAATTTGGTAGAGCTTCAGCTTGGGACCTCATCTAGTCAGTATTAAGAAAAAGATGGAGCGATGGTGTAGGGGGAAACCTGGCCTTTTGTTCTTCACATCTAAAGTTTGTTCACTGCAGGCCCCTTTCGCACTTCAAATGCAACAACAGAAATAAGCCCTTTCTGTTCCTCTCTCACCCTACACACACACACACACACACACACACACACACTCACCCAGTGCTGCTCTCCTGCAAGGCCACGTTGCCACTGTGGCTTATCTCTTCATCAGCTATTCTTCCCATCACTCCATCCATTTCCCACTGACCAATCAGGCAGCCCTCTTATCAAAGACCAGTGCTTGTGTCAATAAAATGTGAATTCTGTGCACACTGAGCCACAGCCATTCTAGATGTTGCTTGTCACAGAACAGAAAGGCATTTGCGCTCCCCAGACTTGAGTATCTTTACTAGCCGTCCTATGAGAAAAACAAAGATTTTAGGAGACGAAGGCAGGGCTAGTAATAGTATCCGACATGGGGAAGGTATTTCATTCTGTGCAGCTCTGATTAGACAGACCACACTCAGTGATAAGTGTGAGTACCACACACGTGAGTGTGAACATGCTTGTGGGTACTCAGAGAGATCTGTTCAGCTTTTAAGACGTGAGACAGAAAAAACTGGTTTGTCACAGGTTCTCTACTGACCCAGATAAGGGTAATTGCAGTGATGATTCTGTTCCAAAGACTGTGATCTAGAAGTATCTTCTCAGTTGGTTAGACCAAGGTCAGTAATGCTTAGAAATAGGTGTACTTTAACATACACAGATTTTCTACTCAGAATATTTTACAGGAAGACATTGTATTAACTGGATTTATCTTAATAGCAATAAGGTCTCTGGAATACTCAGTTGTTTTTTTTTTTTCTAAGAAAAAGTTAACATGCAACTTTCCAGAAATATCTTTTTTTAAAAAATAAGTATCAATGTATTCGTCTATTGGCTATGTGTATCTTTCTCTTGTGCAAGGAATTTGGTTAAGCATTTTCTTATTGCTCAGCTTTGTAGCTTTATGTTACTTTTTCAGAGAAGACTCTCCTGACCGCCCCATTTAAAGATTTCCCCTCCTTTTGTTTGAGGCCCCTCCCTCATAGTACTGATCCTAATTTATAAGGATTATCCATAACTCATTTTTCACTTGTCTTCTCTAGAAGAATATAAGCTTCCTGAGGGGCATTTTGTTACATGATTGAAAGAAGTGGGCATCTCTATTCTTTTATTACAAAGGAAAGTGCTTATTTCTGGAAGTTTTCCACTAACCTTTAGCATTATAAGAACTGTAGCCTTTTCCCAGACCACTCTTAAGGAGATATATTGTGGCTCTGTGACATTTAAGGATTTGCCTTTGTCTCTCACTGGGCTGAAATTCTTAATACATTCAAGTAGTTCTGCCAAAAATACCATTGTGTCTGTGGGTTTTTTTCTTTAATAGTATTACATTTTCTCAGCAAAGTGATAGTTAAGAAAACTCTACTCTACTTAAGCTAGTCTGCCTTGCAGCAGTCTACTCATTAATAAGCATTTGGTGGTAGCATTTTAAGCCAATAATGAGTATGGATTCGCTTTTAACTTATTTGCATACTTTAGTGTTGAGCTTTGTTTTTCTCCACTAGTTACCAAGAATGATTTCATAAGTTTACTTTTGTAATTGTTTTTAGGCTATCAAATTGATGGTGGAAATTAGGTTGCAGTATATAATAATGTTGCCTTATCATGAATTCAGGTATAATGTTTCTCTCACTGAAATCCTAAAATAAGGGCCATGGGAAGAAATGGTTGAATTTAAGGGCATTTGCTTTTGGTAGCTTTGACTTGTGTAAACCTCAGTTTTCCACTTAATTATATGCTGAGTAAAGCGTATAACCATCTCTTGCTGCTTTCAAGGCCATAACAAATATTTAAATTAACCAGCATTAAGCTGTCAGCCTCTTCAGTTCAGAGCAATGATTTCAGAAAATTAATTTTTTTTTTAATTTAGAAGTTTAACTCAAAAGAGAATAAGATATTTTGGCATGATTCTCTGATCATTGATAACTGAAAAATGTTATTTGAATAACATTGGTAACTCCACACTGAAATAGATCATGCTTAGAATCAGCATTTGAAAAAGCCTCCTGCAAAAAACAGTCCTCAAAGTGAGAATTTAGGGCTCCCTTATAAATATATAGTAGAACAGTACAGGCTAGAGACTGCTGTCTGTTATTCCCCTATCAGAAATATTGTCCACCAATAAAGAAATAATTTTTTGAGTTGCTTCAGTGTTCTACCTCCTCACAAATTAAAAAAAATCTATTATCAAACTCTTTATGAAATACCAGAATTTACTAGTGCCACTAGACACCTTTAGCCCCAGAAACACGCCTTTTTTACCTCATCAATGTAGAAGGAGTATTTTGAGTCATTTGATGAACTTTTCCTCAGGAAAAAAATTTTTTTTAAATAAACAATGTCAGATGCTTATTTTTCTACTTCTTAAATGACCTTTCAAGTAATTGTCATACAGAATTTTCCTGAGTTACAGCTAGTTTATCATGAGTAAACAGATATAACTTACGACACTGGAGGTTTAAAGAATCATTATTAAACTACCAGAATTCAAAAGCAATGATTTTTATTATTTAAAAATAATCCTTTTTTTTAATTCTTCCTTGAGGCATTAATATTTGTTGAAGAATTAGAGAGCCATGATCTTCTGTTTCTTTATGTTTTCCTCTCAATTCTCTTTTGCAGTGTTTATTTCCAAAGACAAATATGAAATATAGTATATTTAGGATAATTCAGTAAATACTACCTCAGTTTGATTTTCTTTTAGCATGTTATATTTTGTTAAGTAACAAATACTAGATCATTTCCACAAATGAAAGGATTTAGAAGGCAGTTTTATCTTTGTGTGTGTGTATGTATGTGTGTGCATGTATATATATAACTATATAGAATAGATTTTCTTTTATAGCAACATCTAAGTATCTCTTGATTCAGATAGTTTTATCATAGCAATCACATGTTGTAGGGAGCTCTTTTGTACCATTAATAACAACTAAAACACAATCATCTTTTTAAGGGAGAGAAAAAGAAGAGGGAAAAGGTGGAATTTGAAAGGGGGGGTGGAAATCTGTTCCTATTCCTTCCCTGAGGCTGAACTGTTTATCACTCTATCCTCATTCGATGAAAGTGAATTTTATAATAAAATTTTCCCTAATCGGGCACTGTCAGTGGAGGTGTCTTATCGCTGAGAGGAAAATGACACCGATCCTATCGGAAAACAGAAACGATGTCACCATGTTCCCAATCACGACTCTTCAGCCCCCATATCTACCTTCTCCACAAACACCAAGCAGTGCTTTTTTCATAAGAACATCAAAACCCAGCAAAGTCATTAAAATTGCACCCGCGTAGAGTTGCAGGGACCAGCCGCGCTAGCGCAAAATGGGATGTGGGAAAACAGACTCTCTAAATGTGCTAATTCCATTGTCACGTGTTTACGGCTTAATTTTAATCAGTTAAAAAAGCCACACATTGCAATAAATTGGCATTATCTTCTGTGACACCAGAAGACACAGTTGGTTCAAGGATTTAGAGGGTCACTGGCAACAGTATATAGTATTACAGACAAAGTATTTTTACGCTTGAACTACGGTAGCTAAGGTACAATCCCCAGTTAAGGCTGCAAACAAAGACTATAACCGACATTGCACTAGGTTCAACTCACAGACCACCTTCGTCCTTGGATGGACTTTGTATGCAAAACAAAGAATTTCGAGAATTTTTAACAGAGTAATTTATTCATCATATAAAGAAATTTTAAAATAGCCTTTCAGTGCTGTAGCTTCATTGCATTCTTGGCAACTGACCAAATGGTCTTTCCATAGGTTCTCTCAGTAGACTTGTTTTCCAGTCCTGATGTTTCATTGACTGTGTTTACATTGACCATTCGACTTGCGAGCCTAAACAAAGATATATTAACACGCTTGAGGAAATGCAAACAGAAAATAGTGTCATTGACGATTGTTGAAGGCCAACAATGAAAGACTGTCTCTAATGGTCTTAATTTATTAACGTCAAATTAGCACCAACGTATTTTTACACAGTTACGTTCAGAAATTACTGAAGTAGAAACTACTGGCAAACTTAAATTTAATTTGTTCCAGGGCGTTTTCTTTGGATATACGTATCTCTATTTCAAAGCAGAATAATCCCTTGGACATGGACTGACTGTTCTGCATAAGAATATCTGGGAGTAATTTTTAGACAAAAAGATTTATTTTTCCACGGCAAAGTATAAGATATCACTTCGGTTCTCTGATATTTCAGCTTTGTAAATTGCCAATACATTTATTAATACAACGTGGTTTTAAAACATTACGCATCATCAAGTTTATTTTAAAGAGTGATTAAAATGTCTATAGAAATGTTGGGAATTGTCAAACCTCTGTGGTTTGTGAAATAACTGTGGGTGGAAAAAAAAATCTCAATTTCACCTTGAAACTAGTTTTTTTTTTTTTAATTGACATATCTGACCTTGAGGGAGGAAAAAATAAATAAAGTGCAGGCACAACTTTTACGGAATGAAAGAGCTTTGGAATTAAATCATTTGGCAGTGACTGAAAAAAATAAACATTTGTATGGCTTTTGTTTTAATTTTGTTTAGCACTTTATTGATTTCTTTATACCAGAAGCAATAGAAATAAAAGATGAAGTAATAGTGAACCAAACAAATAATTTTTCAGCACATTGTGCTTATCTTCACTGCGAGTTTAGTTTTCTATAGTCAATGTCAAATTGATCAGACCTCTGCTGTGTGATTGAAGTTCATTTTTAAAAAAACAAAAAAACCTCACATTGTGCATTAAAATGGTTAAGTTGTAGTGTCACTGAAACAGTTTTTCTGATTGTACTCACTTTGCCACAGAGGCTGGCTGAGTTACTCTACTTCTTCCATGTTTAAACAGCTTGAGTAAATTTACAGGGTCACTTTTTTTTTTCTTTTAATAATAGAGAAAAGGAATGAGTGCAAATTTTGAGCACAGTTCTTTTCTCTGCTAGGATTAGCAACCTGCTCTGCATGAAGGGAGGGAAAAGTTGGGAGTATATGTAAAGAACTTTCCTGTAGGATGGCTCTTGGTTTTTTAAAGGAGACACTCACAAAAAGTAACAGGGAGATTATTTAGGTAAATGAAATGCTGGGTTTTGTCACATCTAAAAAAATATTTTCATTGATTTTGCTCAGACTTTATGAGTAACTGTGCGTCTTTTGTCAAAATTTTTTTCTTTCCTTGTCTTTTTTCTTAATTTTTTTCTTTTGAGAAGAGTTCATTTACATTTTTGAATGTGTATATGTATATATGATATGTATTTTCCTTATTGTACATTAATGTTAAAAAGGCTGAGGGAGATGATTGTTATGTGCTGCCTTGAAGGGAACAGCATCTTCTCTATAGTTGGCTGGAAATCCATAGGATGTGTTGATTGAAGATTTATGGATGGCAATGTATTTATCAAGTTCATTCATGATGTAGCAGAACAGAGTTTATTCAGCCTTCCTACTGCCTGTACCATAAAATAATAGGGCTCTGTTTAATTAGCCTAATACAATTGTTAAATTGAAATAATGTTTCTGATTTAAAATATGTAATGCATGTACTTAGTGTCTTTTCAGGGAAAGATTATTTTAAAAGAGATTACAAATCACAGTGTCATATGCTGTGCTGACAGGAAGTAACTGTTGAAATAATAACTCAGCCACAAAACCCCATGTTTCTTTAGATTTTTGGCAGTGGAGCAAATAGAAAAATTTCAAACTTATTTGAAAAAATGTAATGCTTCGTATTGAACAAAAAAAGACTTTTTTATGTATATGTTTTGTTTATTTTCAGCTTATTTTAGTTTCACAAAAACAGTGAACATCATGATGCAATAGAAACAGAATTCTTTTATGTGCACCTCTCATTTTTAAAACCATATTTTATTTTTAAACTCTATTTATAACTACAAAATTGAGTACTTTCCCCCATGAGTTAACGTTGTATTATACTTTTCTACACATAGGCTGCGCCATTGAGCCACTAGTCAAAGAAATATTTCTTGAACTGCCTGTAGTGCGTGGACATGAAACATAGAGCAAATGGTAATGAAAGAGAACAGCTATTAGCTTTTTAAACGTTTGTTACTAAAATTAATATAGGAAAAAGGCATATTTTGATATAACATTTTTGGATATAAGATATTTTCTAATAATTTTAGATTTAATGCTTTTTAAAAATAGTTATTCTTTTAAGTTTTAATTACTCAGTATTTTCTACAGATATTAGTAAGTGTATAAGAAAAACATAAATCTAGAAGAAATACAATTTTTAATTTAGATGCATGACATCATTTTAGTATTTTTTTATTGACTGAGTACTATCTCAGATTTATTGTAATTTAAAAGGTAAACACTTTTAAATAACTTTGAAGTGTCAGATAATAATTAACATAAATATGTCCCTGGAAATTTTACATTGAAATCTAACTATTTAACTTTCGTATCTACATAAGAAATTTGTGAAGTCCAAGTGAATAGTGTTTCTCTTCTAATGGACGAGAAATTGTTCAGTAAATCTAACTAAGAACAGTTAACAAACTGTTGGGAATTATGAGTAAATACTGCATTTTCCTTTTAATTTTCATTAATATTGAGACTAACTGGCATATGAAAAACTGTAGCAATATCTCTATTGATTTTTATTCTTTGATTCTAGAATATATTAATAGATTTTAAATAGTATTTGAAACTATATTACATTTCAACCTCAACGTTTCTTAACTTGCATATGTTAGAAAATAAAATTTTAAGTATAATCTAATATTTTTGTTACAAATATGAGAAAACTAACTTTTATATATAATTTATGTATATATAACTAAATCTGATGTCATCTTTTGATCTTTGCATTTTGTGGATCTGCAGATTCTGAAAGCAGAGTGCTCAGGGACTATTTCTTTGAATAAATTCATTCATTTTGTGTAAATCTTTGTTTTCTTAATGACCTTGAGAAAAGTAAGATATTGTTCTCTGTTAATGCAGAAGTCTGGGACTGAAAATTTAAGCAATTAACATTATAATTAATTGATGGCAGAAATTCTGGAAATGTCATTGTGGTTGGCAAATGCGACTCCTACTTGCATCCCGAGTTCCCAAGGCTTCACATGGTCCTACTCATAAACACTTCCCTAGACACCCCATTGCTTCCTATGTGAATCTTCAGGGGAAAGTTTCTAGAAAGTATGTTCAGCAGCCAGTTACATGTTCAGCAAGTCTTTTCCATTGTTTATACTGAGGCTGACTCACTACCAATTTGGATACAGTATCTCGATTTATCATTAAAAAAAAAAAGCCAACCTTACTTGGATCGAATAAAAATCTTTTCTATGTAGTACAGCCTATGTTTGTAAAACACCATATTTATAGCTTATAATATAATTTATTTTATAAAATGTGGTTTTCTTAGGAGTGTAACTTTTTACCAGTTCATGAATTCATAAATGAATGTCAGCTCTATTTTTCATTACCAAGAATAATATGATGTGAAAATGTATTATTGCTTCCATTTATATCATCTTAATTTTATTAAGAAAAATAAGTCTGATATTAATCACATTAGAATTAACAGCATGATTTGAAACTTACAACATCAGATTAACATATATTTCATTTCTTAGTTTATTTTGTGTAGTTAAATGTTATTTTCTGATGGTGAATAGAGTAAAATACCCTGACGCTGGGAAAGATTTGAAGGCAGGAGGAGAAGGGAGTAATAGAGGATGAGATGATTGGATGTCATCACCGACTCAATGAACATGAGTTTAAGCCAACTCTGGGAGATAGTGAAGGACAAGGAAGCCTGGCGTGCTGCAGTCCACGGGGTTCCAAAGAATCAGATACAACTTAGTGACTGAACAAAAACCACAACAATAGGTACGAAAGCAAAGGTAGTATAATTGTGGAAAGATGATTCTTCTTGTAACTCAGACTGTGTTCTGGGAATCCGCCAAGTTGGATAATTGATGTTGTTAATCTTTTACTCGTCAAATACCTCAGTGATATGATTTGAGATACCCAGTAAGTGCTATATTGGTGATTTGTCCAAATCCAAGACTAACACAGTTATGCCAAAGTGTATAGAATTGTATTATAGAAAATGTCTCTCTGTTAGTGACTGTAGACTACCTGGGTCTTTCTGGAAAAGAGGGCTGTTTTCTTAATAAATGAAGATGAGTACTAAGGATTAGCACTTAGATAGGCACACATCTATGTCCCCAGAACTAGATTGACCTTTATTTAGGTATTACTGCATCTTAAAATGGCTAGATTGACTTTCACTATCTGGCAGTTATGTTTGTTACCATCTCACTTAAAATAAGGCTGTGTTGTGTACCCCAAATTCATCATGGGGCCCAAGGTGGTATTTCATAGCTATTTCAGAGCAACTGAAACTGAAGTATCAAGAGAAATATGCTATACACATTAAGATGCTATGGCAGAAGCGGAGGAGAGGTATGTGGTCTCAAATATAAGCACCAAATTTACAAGTCTCAGAAGGAATTACACAGACCAGGATGTGATGGAGATTTTCATATTAGCAGCTCTGTGCTCCAGGTATGGAGCCAAGAGAGTTGTTTACTAAACAATGGCAGGCGGTTCTCCTTTGAGAGGTTGGAGATTTCTAAATAAGATCCCTTGTGTGTGCTTGGTGGCTGAGTCGTGTCTGACTCTTTGCGACCCCATGGGCTGTAGCCTACCAGGCTCCTCTGTCCATGGGATTTTCCAGGCAAGAGTACTGGAGTGGGTTGCCATTTCCTTCAGGGGGTCTTCCCAACTGGGTCTCCCCGCATCATAGGTAGACGCTTTACCATCTGAGCCACCAGGGAAGTCCATCCTATAGCATTACCCAACAGCTAAAAGTTACCAGGTATGTTTAAAGGTCATATTCTACCTACTTGTATTGTTTATTCAGTTTGGGGATTGTCAAGGCTTCATGCTTTCCCTCCTGCTTCCTGTAACTCTCCTTTGACCACCTCTTCTCTGCGCTTCTCTTCCATGGAGCAGGTGTACTCAAGAGGTAAAACTCACATAGGTTCATTAGATGCCTTCTAGAAATGAGAAGGGAAGCAACCGTTTGTTGAATGCCTTCTCTGACCCGAGCACACACTTCATTCAGTCTTCACAATAATCTTAGAAGGTTTTGTTACAAACAAGAAAACTGAGGTCCAGAGAAGTTAAGCTCTCAGCCTAAATGAAGGACCATCTGAAGTCCCATCCTTTACGTTTTTTCATCTTCCTATGCTAAAGATAGTGTTTCATTCTCCTAGCTGACTTCTAGTATAGAAAACAGAATTGAAAGGTAGGCTGGAACACCTCTTGGGTTCATGATTTGAAGGCAGAGGTTAGCATTTTGCCCTCTCCACGGAGCTAACCCCCATAGCAGTGTTATCTATTATGCTGCTGGCTAATATCTGTACCTTGGTGAGTATGAGCAGTGACTAGCAAAGAGGGTATCCAGGGAAAACTTCGGAAGGTGGTAATGTGATGTTGCTATGAGCACACTTCTGAATGTGGGTAAAAAACCAAATCAGTACCACCTGGGTGCTTACTCACAGCACAGCTTCCTGCTCCTCGATGTTAATTGACCGGATCAGAATCTCTGGAGGTGTGGCCCAGGCATCTTCACTTCTGAGAAGTAACTTCTGGTGTTTCTGAAGCATCCTAACTTCTGAGGCTTATTGCTTTCATGTATGAAGCATGTATGAACCTGAGAGAGCCTATGCTTTGAAACTCCACGAGCTTCTCTGCAAAGTCTGCTTTTCTCTGGAGAATTGTCTTTTCTCTGCAAAGTGTCCATTTAGTACCACCAATTGCCTGCATTTTGGTGCTCAGACACTCAAAGACATAATTAAGGGAATTTCTTCTTTAAAAGCTTACTTTAAAAGCTTACTGCCCAGTATCTGGTACCATTATACGGCTTGTTTATTTGTTGGTCCTTCTTCAAATATGAAGTGAAATGTTGCCCTGAACAGCATCATAGTAAAATATAAAAATTATCTTCTGTGAAAAATGAAGTCAGGGCATACATCTGGGAATCCAACAGACTCTCAACTGCCTGTGTACAAAAATGTTTTTTAAGTTTGAAAACAGATAGCTGCCTGAAGGTCGCATATTTAAGGTCAGTTTCCCTGTTTCCTTCATTTTTGCCCTGTGGCAAAGCAAGGAAAGACTTCCAATGGAAAAAAAAAAAGGAAAGAAAACCCAATATTGGCACTCCAATAGTAAGGGGATAATAAAGAGTGAGCCTGGAATTTCTAATCATTTGGATATTGGGATATTCTAATTTTCAGCTGGATAAATTAGCATGCAATATATTTCAGGTTGAAACTTGACCTGATTTTGACCATATTTTGAGACATAAGCCAAAAAGTGTAATACCTTTAATGAAAGAAAATATTTAAATAAAGTGTTTAAAATTCAAAGTGAAGCATTGTTTGTATAACAGCCTGAGTACCTCTGTACAGGATATTTCTCTGAAGAGGCTAAAATGCCAGCTGAATTTTTTATCTATTTTCTCACCAACTTCTGGTGTCAATAAAGGAAGTCAGCACATTTTGTCTCTTTGAAGTTACTGTCTGCCTTAGAATTTTTTCACGTCCCTCCTTCCTGGTTTCTGCTGAAAGAACCAAGGTATAAGAATTAATAAATAATAGACTAATAGTAACAGTTCTGGTAAACACTTATTGAGCAGTTATTATGTGCCAGGTGCCATGTTAAAGAGTCTATGTAGATTATTTCCTTCAATTCTGAAACAGCCCTATAAGTAGTATTATCCTTCTGTTACAGAAGAGAAAATCATCAAGTAATGCAAGTAATATCAATATTTATCAAGCATTTTCTATGTCCTAGGTACTACCCTGCGCTACTCCCTATGTTATCTTAATCTTCAAAACATTCTGTCTGTGGTAGATGGGTATTTATTTTTATTTCACACATGAGGAGACTGAAGTTGAAAGATGAAGCGGCTTATTCAAAATGACATTAACTGGCAGATATTAGAGTTTGCATAGCCTCTTGGTTCTTCATTCTACTTGATGTTTGTCCTAAGCTACATGTAAACTATCTTCCCATCTTATTTATTCTTTCCATGTTTATATTCCGAAGAAAAAACTAGTAATGTCTCATGTATCCAGTGACCCATCTCAAGGAAATGTACTCTTTTCTAGGGGACAACACTAACCTTGGAAAGGTATCTTAGGATGCCTAAAAAAAAAAAACCCACAACAAAAATGCATTATTTGGTAATGGTTGAGAACATGTGTTTGAATCAGACTTAGGTTTAAGTCCTGCTTTACCAGCTGTGTAACTTTGGAAAACTGATCTCTCTGGCTCATTTTCATCATCAGTAAGATGAAAATAACGATAGCATTTTGTGTACCTAGTTAGCGCTCAGTGAAAGGTACTAGGGGTGGGTGTTGTTGATGTTATTCCTCCATTTAAGTCGTTTAAAAAGTTCATTTTTGCAATTCTTTAGTTGTTAGCTTATTTTATTTCTCAACCCTCAGTGGAAGGGTTAAATTAAAGTAAGAAGGCTAGACACCATGAAATAAGAGAATTACTGTTAAAGAAAGAGTCATAAAACTGTCTTTAAACAATCAAATAATGGTTGCTTGTAATAATAACTTTAAGTCAATTAAAAAAATAGAAATATTCTCTATTCTTTGTTCAAGGAGACAATGAAGTGTATTTTTGTGGTGTATTTTAGAAGTTTCTCATTAGTTAATCAAATAAATGTTTGTTGCTTGAAGTTAAATCAGTTTTAATTATCTGGGAAGTTTTCTTTCCTCAAATACCCTGTTTCACTGCAATGCTAGATAAAGTAATTGTTAGCCAAAGCCTGTAGTGCTTTAAGTTTATTAGGGATGACAGACCCAAAATGCTACAGGGTTCACACATGTAAACCACGTAACATAGTGAGTTGAGCTTATCATAGCTGATCTTGAGGGAGCATATCTCCACCTAAAACCATTTGGTGTTTAAAAACATGCTGGCCAAAAAGATGTGCCTGGAGCCTGCATTCAGCTCAAAGTTCATGACCCTCTGGAATGGATTGCATTCATGGCCACTCAACTAGCTGTATGCATGTTCACCTTGGAATCTGCTCCACTACCTGAGAAGTCTTGAGTACCTCAGGAGTCAAGACTAAGCCTTAGACCTCTTTATGTCCCACTGCCTTTCCTGCCCAGTACCTGCCTTTGGTGGTTATACAACTCTTGCTAATGACACAGGGTGTGTTTACTGGGGCGGGGGGTACATGTGCATGAGCTCCACAAACAACATCCATGAAATTGTTTCATTGGTACACATAAAAAGACAATGATGTTTATATGTTTGGTGAAAGTTTTTCAAGAAACAAGAAGGTAACAGTAGAGCCCAAAGGAGATTGTGTCTCCTGTCTGCTGTCTATTCTTAACTGGGAGGCAGCACAATATAAGTGGAAAGACCATGGAATCAAAAAGAGATCCAGGTTTTAATTCCAACTTCATCATGTGCTGTCCTTTAGGACAGCTTTAGGATAATTATTCATTCTCTGCTTCCTCCTGCTTCTAGAGATCTCTGTATTTTCTAGCAAGCTCGGTAAGAAGTGCATTAAAAATGCATGTTAGTTGAGGTAGATCCAAGATCTAGTTGTGAAACGACCTTCAGAACATACCTGTCATATTGCCTGAACAAGTGAAGCAGTAATTCTTATTCCAGTAAACACTACAACTCCTTCACTTTTTCCCCCCTTATTTTAAACGAAGTAGAACTAATGCCAGCATCTACCTTACCTTTGGTTTTGTACTTAAACAGTGTTCCCCCAAAGCTTCAGGATATGATAAATTGTTGAAGTGTTCAATTTGTGTGTGTGTGTGGGTGTGTAACCTTTCATTTTCATCAATCTCTTCAGGTTCCTGGGGAATACTAGAGTTTTTGTTTTTTCGATACTAAAGTTTTAATTCCACTTTATATGAGTTACTTAAATTACAGTACTCATTGTATTCTCTGAATCATCGGTTCCCAGGTATCTGAGTTTAAAAAATCAAATCAAATAAATCAAGCATCGAGTACTGTTTTAGGCACTGGAAAAAGCATGACTCTAATAGGCAAGACAGAAAATAAAATTGATGAGCACAGTGTATAAAGATGCATTGGGTGAAGGAAAGTTTCAATGTCCTGGTCTAATTTTGAAGAGTCCCAGGTGAGCAAAGAAAAACACCAGATGAATTCGACTTGGCTGGCAGTAGACTCTCTTGCTCAATTATTTGTGTGGCATTCCCCAGTCTTAAACCCCAATATTTGCATTTTCTCCTTGAAAAGATTTAGCTCAACCATTTCATTTTAAGAGATAAAATAATCGCGTACCTGGTGCGTCAGATGGCTGTTCCATGTTTACCCAGCCAGTTAGGGGCAGAGGAAAGATTTAGATTCCATATCACTGTTGTATTTTGCTTCACTAACATGCAATTTCCATGACCACAGGGACCTTGTATGGTTTGCACACCACTGTATCTCTCTTTGGTGCTAATAGTAGGCACTAAATAAATATCTGTAGAATGAATGATTGATTTCTCTCTTGAGATTTCACAGCCTAAAAATCTTTTTGCTTTCCCTTACCTAATGATGTCTTTCCCTTGGCACAGAAAACTGATGAAAGTTGGGTCGTGTTCCTGTAGCTCGTTTTCGGTTTCTGGTTTACTGATAGATCTAACTTATGGATCTTTTCATTATAATCTTTGTAGATGTTTTCATAAATGTACAAATCAAGACATTCTTCATGTGCATTTAAATATCACTGATGCTTGCCTTCTCTTTACAAGAGTACATTTTGATAACAGCCAGAGGTACAGCAGTTTTCTGCTTCCTGCAATAAATGGTTGTTCATGTCCATCATGTTTTCAAGATTGTTTGGTTCATCTTTGTCCATGATGTGTGTGCCCTCCAGGGAAACATGCTGGCTTTGTTTTATAGTTCAGTTGAATTAATGCCATCTTCACTTAAATTAGAAAATTTTAAAGTAATTATAGAACTAAATTATCTTTCCCTTTATGAAATTAATATTTAAGATATAACTTGAAGGATGGCACTCTGTTATTCTCATGATTATTTATGAAGATACAGTCATAAAATCATTTCATTGCCTTGTTTACTTTCTAGGCAGTGCTGGAACTATTTAAGGTCATTCTGCTTGATAAACTTCAGTTTTACCACTTAGATTGTTCTGTTCAATTAATACTGTTGCATAATTTTCGATGATGTCTTCTTGAAGTGAAGTTTTACCCTTACCTGTTGATTGTACAGCAAAGTTTAAACCTCTCAGAGTGTTCATGATGATATTCCTCTCTTCATTCTATATATTTATCTTTTGCCTATCCCCATCCTTTTCCTCTGAAAAGACCAGAACTCTCCATTTCTACTTATTAATAGCTCTTTCCTACCTGTATTTTACATGCATATTATTTTAGCATGCACTTAATTACCCAGCCATTTCTGAGTAGCTAGTAGGTACCGGGCACTGAGCTGACATTCAGGTGACACTCATATTTAATAGGCTCAGAACTGTGCCATTTTTAAAATATAAACTTTGGGATATAAAGAAAATAAAATCTATTTCAAAGTGGAACTTTGGAATAAATATCAAACTCTCAAGAGTATCTTGAGGTGGGGTGTTGACTATCATTACCTATAATAGTAAAAATATAAGAATGTATTACTTTCATAATCAGAAGACTTAACAATAGGATGTTTCCTGGTAACTACATCAAGAAATCCCTTGTCCTATCAATTCCGTTCAGTTCAGTCGCTCAGTCGTGTCCAACTCTCTGTGACCCCATTGACTGCAGCACGCCAGGCCTCCCTGTCTATCACCAACTCCTGGAGTTTACTCAAACTCATGTCCATTGAGTCGGTGATGTCATCCAGCCATCTCATCCTCTGTTGTCACCTTGTCCTCCTGCCTTCAATCTTTTCCAGCATCGGGGTCTTTTCAAATGAGTCAGTTCTTCACATCAGGTGGTCAAAGGATTGGAGTTTCAGCTTCAACATCAGTCCTTCCAATGAATATTCAGGACTGATTTCCTTCAGGATGGACTGGTTGGATCTCCTTGCAGTCCAAGGGACTCTCAGGAGTCTTCTCCAACACCCCAGTTCAAAAGCATCATTTCTTNAGGAGATCAAACCAGTCAATCCTAAAGGAAATCAGTGTTGAATATTCATTGGAAGGACTGATGCTGAAACTAAAGCTCCAATACTTTGGCCACCTGATGTGAAGAACTGACTCAATGGAAAAGATCCTGATGCTGGGAAAGACTGAAGGCAGGAGAAGGGGACAACAGAGGATAAGATGGTTGGAAGGCATCACCTACTGAATGGACATGAGTTTGTGTAAGTTCTGGGAGTTGGTGATGGACAGGGAGGCCTGATGTGCCACAGTACATGGGGTTACGGAGTTGGACATGACTGAGCAACTGAACTGAACTGAGTTTTCCAAAGTTGCTGAAATATTGAGTGCAGGACTTTAATAGCATCATCTTTTAGGATTTTAAATAGCTCAGCTGGAATTTGTCACCTCCACTAGCTTTGTTCATAGTGATGCTTCCTAAGGCCCACTTGACTTCACATTCCAGGATGTCTGGCTCTAGGTGAGCGATCATACCATCGTGATTATCCGGGTTGTGAAGATCTTTTTTGTGCAGTTCTTCTGCATATTCTTGTCCTATATCTTAGTGCATAATATGTGCAGGGAATGAACTGTACATATCTGGGTGCTATTTTTTCAAATATTTTAGATCATGACATAGTAAGAAATACATTTCACATCACCATGCATATTACACACATATACACATGCATAGCTGAAATGAATATTTCATAAAAATATACTTATCTTTTACCTATGAGTAATGTACACTTTTAACTCTATATAGACAGAGAAGCCTGGTGAGCTATAGTCCAGGGGGCTGCAAGAGTTGGACACAACGTAACAACTAAGCCACCACCAATGCACACTAATGTTTTCTAATCTTGTATTTTTTTTAAATAAAGAAACTTCAGTCTTGATTTCTAAATTGATTTTATAGTCCATCTGCAAAGTCACAGTCCACAGTTTGTGTTGGGGGTACACAGATAAATTTTCCTTAGTCCTAACTTACAGCTTGTATATTCTAATAAGAAACGTAAGTTCTTGTATACAGAGAACTCTTATTGAAGTATACAACATGTAAATTCTATAAGATAATATTTCCTGAATATCCATTTATGAACCACAGCCACAACATTCATCTCATCTATGTACCACCATACAGTTTTATTTACTTAACATTTTTCTATCAATCAATTTTAAGAAGATGGAAATTTTTTTATTACATAGCCTTGTCTTGTGTGAAATCATGAGTTAGATGCTCCAGTTTCTTCTAATACCTAAATACATAAGTAATTATATAAATACTAAAATAGAAGAGATTTTATGTACCACTAGCAGACCCCCACTCTTTAGTAAATAGTTAAAAACGAAGCATGTTACAGGGGTTTGGGAAACTAAGTCTCGATTTACAGAGAGGGTAGCACTTGGGATTGGGGCTTGAAGATAGGAGAGGTCACAAAGGAGACCATCTGCTGTGGATAGAGCACTGTGAACAAATGCACGGTGAATAAAAAGTTTTTTGGGGAATAGCAAAGTAGAAAGTTTAGCCACAGGCACTGAACACAGGTGGGGATTTGCAGGAGGTAAGGAAAGAAAGGCAGTGAGAACTTATAGGACCATGAATGCCAAAGAGGTGGGTCTTAATGTCATGGGCAATTAGAAGCTATTAAAGGTATTTGAACAATGGGGTGATATAATGAAACCTATACTTAGGGAACATTATCCCAGCAATAGTGTGGGAAAGAAACTGAAAAGAAAGGACTGATTTGAATTATAATTTAATTTTAAAAATTATGTTTTTAAATCAGGCATAGATCTTATGTCTTTCATTAGATTAAATGAGCACCCTTCCAGCCAGTCAAGAATTGCAGGAGGGTACAAGACAGGAGAAGAAAACACCACAGACCACCAGACCCACGCACTGTTTGACTTTAAGCAAATTATTTACTCATTCTCTATTTCTATTCTTTTTTCAAATGGAATGAATAATGCCTATCTTTTCCCATAGACCTGCTGAGAAAAGCAAATGAAAAAAGTGTGAAAACCTTATGCAAATAAATGTAAATTAGCTTTCTTATTGTATTTGAACTTTTTGAGCCAAACAGGTGACCTGATAATAATTATGATTTAGGAGATGAGTCTGACCAGTGGCACATCAGATAACTCAGAGGAGAAAGAATGGTGAGGAAGAGCATTTAGGACACTGTGGCAGCAGGCCATAGAAGTCTTAATTAAGCTTGAACTAGAGTTGTGGAATTAGGAATGAAGAAAAGAGGGCAGATGCAAGAGACATCACTGACGAAGACTGAACCAAGGCTCAGCCATTGGGCTGTAAGGTCAGGTAGTGGGGAGGATGGAGTGAAGAGAGGGGAGGGGAAGGAAATCCTCAGTGGTTCCAGGTTTCCTTCTGAGTAAAAGGTGTGCCATTAACAGGAGAGAAACTTTGAAAGAAGGAATAGGTTTGGTGGTGGGGGGTGGGGGAAGACCCGAGTTTCAGGTATCAACAAGATGCTCAAGTTATACTGTTGAGCAGGCAGTTGGAATTTGAAGATTAAAGCTTAAGAATGATGTTCTAGCTGGATATATACAATATAGACATAAATTGTCCTTGAAGTGATGATAATTTAAGCCTGTGTATTTCAGACTTTTAGCCTTTTAAGTGCTACTTAAAAGCTTTTTGCCATACTTGGGACCAATACTTGTACTCTTATTTAATATTTCAAAATCTATTTAAAATTAACTCACTTTTTAAAAGCATAGCCCATTCTAATTTATAATAATATCTACGAAATCTCTGAGTTTGATGTGATAGATATGTTTTAAAAATGCAAATTAAAATAAACACACAATTAACTATATTTCATGATTATAGAATGCACATCTTTTCACAATTTAACATTTCTGAAAGTAGGGTGTTTTACCATTGATGGCATCATACAATCTCTGTTGGCCAGCCAGTGGTGGGGATATACTTGTCAATGTCAACATATAAATCAACTTGGTTGTTATTCCTAGTGGCGTGAGTGGAAAGCTGCAGTCCCTCAATATTTCAGTTAGCAAACCATTTAAAGATCTTTAGAGAAACGAATATGGGTTTTAACTATTGTCTGAAAACCTTACTCTCTGGTACAAATAAGAAAGCACTAACCTGGAGGCTGGCAGAATGAGTATCAACACTGTGGAAGAGAGTTCCAGTCGGAAGTAGTTGAAGACACATGAGAAATGTCTCAGCCCCCGTGCTCCTGATGGCTCCTAGGATATCCATGACTCTGAGCTGGAAAGTGGTTCAGAAGAGTTAAACATGATGGTGAGAAAACTTTAGGTAAATCTTCACCTGTTTGTTTTGCTTATATTGCCTCAGTGTGTGCACAAGAGTGATGTATATTAAAAAAAAAAAAATCTCTCCATGTGAGAAATCTAAAAGATCCTTTTGTATGAGTATGAGATTAAAATGTTAAGTGATAAGAAAGCATTGTATTGTAATTTAATTAGTGGCCATTTTCTAAGTTATATATTTTAAATGGCGCCTCTTACAATTGATGCTGTCCAAGGTTAGATTAAACAAAGTATCCAAATAAAAAAAGTGGCAGCTCATGTTCCACTTAAAGTCATCTCATAAATACTGCTTTATGGAAGAACATTTAAGCCAGGGGGATACATAAGCTCACCAAGAGAATATTTATACAGAATACTGAGGAAAGTCTGCATTCCATAGGAGAAAGAGGAGTCTGGGTGTGGAACTAGAGAGGGTTAGTGGATGACTCTAGGCGGTGCAGCATCATGGAAACCTGAGAAGGAGAGTTTTTTGTTGTTGTTCAAAAAGAGAAGTAACTTAGAATAATTCAGTACTTCAGAAGACCTGGAAAGTACTCAAAAAGATAGAAAATGGTGGCTTTGAGGAGTAAGAGAATATGAATAGTGGAAAGTTGATCCTAGATGTCCCTTTTTAAGAAAGAGTAAGTAGAGAAATAAAAAGATGATGATTGTAAAGGATCAGAATTAAATTTTTTCCCCCTTTTACTCTGGAGCCCTGAACATGTTTTGGGAACAAGAGGTAGGAACTTGTAGAGTCATAGTGATGCCAACATGAAGCAAAGTAACTGCCCATCTCAGGACCTGGAAGTTGTGCAAGAAGATGGAATCAATAGCACATATTGAAGATATAACCTTAGAAAACAGAAATGCTTCCTCAGAAGCAGGGATGACGGAAGAGGGAGGTAGAGTGGATTTTGAATAACATCCATTTTGAAAGGAGAGAACTTCAGAAGGAGTGCCATGATTCCAAACAAGAACCCCGTTACTCCCTGAAGGTGAAGGACAGGGTCAAGGGCTTAGAAGGAGGTAGAAAAGGCTCAAAACAGTTGTTGTAGGAAATGTCAAGAGGACTCAGCACGAGCTGAGTCAGAAGTAGTTGAATTGCCATGAGCACCCAGCTGAGGTCTGGAGGCATGCATTTGTAGCGGGTTCACCAGTGTGGTTTCACAGGTCTCCCCAGGATTGCTTGGCAGACCAGGAGTAGGAGCCAAGAAAGCAAACAGTGGAAAGTCGATGCCTGTTGAGAACTGGCAGAGTAGGAATGACAGGAGAACAAAGAGTAGTGATTGTAGGGTAGTAGCGGGTACAAAGTGGAAATGGCTAACTGTGGGAGGTAGGCCAGATGGAGAGGCAATGGGAGGCCAAGTCAGGGTGATGGACAGAAGGAAAGGGGGGGCCTTGGGTGATTGACACTCCCAGTGTACACAGAGGACCAGGAGGCAAGAGGAGGAATGTGCGAATCCAGTTGACTGAATGGAGATTTTGAGAACTTCAAGAGACTTTAAAAATACAGGACTTAGGGATAATTATGCACCAGAATTATAGATGTATATGTCTTCTTAAAGGGCAGCCTAGTGCTTAATAGCAGTAGATTTCTATTTAAATCCAAGCCCAACTAGCATTTACGCACTCACTGTGTGACTGCTTAGACATAAATTTCCCTTCCCCACGTCCACTCTGTTTTGTTCCTTGGATGACAGACTCTGTGTGGACCACACCAGTGAGCTCCCTTGCCCTCTGGGTTCCAATTAGGTTCACCCAGTGGGAAGCACTGGCAGGACACAGAACACAGAGAGGAGAGTAAGGTTGGAGTATGGATTCTCCCAGCTCTCTTCCTGTGGGATTACACTGAACTGATTGCATCTGTCTGCAAGGCTGTTTCTTTCCAGTCCCTGCCCTCCCATCTTCTACCTCCCATTCTAGCGGTGGTAACTTGCCCACTGTTAGCTTGCCCCAGGCTAATGTGCCCAGCCTTCTGGGTTTCCACACCTTTTGAATAGTCTCTTTATTAAAGATTGTTTAAATTACCCAATTTGATGATGTGTTCTATTTTTCTATTGGGACTCTGATAAAATCACCTTGGGCAAGTTACTTAGGCTTTCAGCCTCACTTTTCTAATCTGCAAGATTGACATAATAATAGTACCTACATCATAGGTTTAGTAGAAGGATTAGACATGATACTGTAAAATCCTTACACAATGCAGGCCTTAATAAATGATGATGATGATGATGATGATGTAGGATAGACTCTGGAATTTCCATTTATTCAGGTATAGATTTATGGAGATACATAAATCAGGGACAGGGTGTTTATATTAGCAAGTCACATTTTCTGATGTATCCCTATCAGTGGCAGAATTGAAGAGACAAATTGGATGGAGAAGGAGAAACTAGCCATCTAATAATGGCTTAGTCCCTCTTAGTCCCTCCTCTCAAAGGCATTTTAAATTCGATGGTTGTTGTTGTTTAGCTCAGTTGCGTTAGGCTCTTTTGTGATCCAACCAGATGCCGCTGTTCAGGGGATTTCCCAGGCAAGAATACTGGAGTGGGTTGCCATTTCCTTCTCCGGGGGATCTTCCCAAGCCAGGGATTGAACTCAACGTTCTCCTGCATTGGCAGGCAGATTCTTTACCACTGAGCCACCAAGGAAGCCCCTTCAGTTGATGATACCACATCTTAGTTGGTGGCAAACTAAGAATAGGCAAAATACTCACCATTACAGTTGGAATATCTTTAACATACAATCTAAGTAAAAAATAGTGTGCTTGCTCCAAGTGCAACTTCAAGGCAATTTCCCTGACTGTTTCCTCTTTGACACACTTCTCATCCCTGTTAAGTGTGGGAATTGTGGAGCTATCACTGGTCCTCTTGATGGTTGAAACTTCTTTGGTTTTCTTGATTATATGGCTGATTGAAACCTTTGAATACATGGCTGTTCCTTTTAGTTAGCACGAAAGTAGTGGTTTTTAAAACTCTGGGTTTCAGAATGACTTTGGTGGAAGAGCAACTCTGAAACTCTTACCTTCTTTCACTTGTTGGACTTAACCAGGCAGTGCTTAGAATTGGTTAAGTGTTCTGAATCATTAATTCATGATAGCAATGCTAGCTCATACTTGATTAGAGCCTTATAATTTGAAAGCGTTTTTAGTCACTTTTCAAAAATGGAGGCATTGTTGTTTTGGAAATATAAATCTACTGTGAGGCAAACTACCAGGAGGCCACCATTGTGCTCCAGACATTGATGGACACCAATGAGTATATCTTATCTGTAAGAACTTCCAGGAAAATAAAGTCTTCAAACCTCCACCAGTGACTCACTCAAGTTTACCAGTGACCATGATACTCAGGAAGGAAGGCATTTTTGCTTAATGTACTCAGACATATACACCTGTATTCACTGAAGCACTTCTGTAAACTTCACAGATCATTTAAGTAGTCACATTTCATGTCTTATATACATGTAAGCATCTTATAGAGATAAAGCTGGAAAGGGGGCACAGTAAAAGAGTAAGTCATGATCAAGAGCAGGCTTCCCAGGGCTCAGCTGGTGCTTTCATGATTCTCTTGTGCTTTTTTGACCTTGGGTGCTGCTGAGAACAGAGAGGATACATGTGGCCATACTCACCTGTGGAGCTTTAAATCAGGGGTAACAACTTCAGTTTGCTTACGTCTTGTTATTCATTCTCTCGGGCCCCTAAATTTTGCTTTTTGAAAACTCTCAAATCCGGAGGCTACTTCTGCATGGGATGTATTTATGTGTCTGTCTGCTTTATCAGGAATGTGGTTGCATTCAGGTCTGTTGTCCTGAGCGCCTTTGTTGGTAGCTGCATTCCATGCAGTTCGGTCTTTCAGCCTCACGTATTTACTAACTATTCAAATGCCTTGTGGTATTCACACACAGATTATGTAAACGAAAAAAAATACATTATTAAGGCGGTGGCTGCTGTGAATGGATTATTACAATTTGCCTATCATGGTAATGGCACCTGTTAGAGGTGTGATACAAAAGGCAGTGACAGGCAGTGTAATTTAGTAATTGTGGCCATTGTACTGTATGGCTGATCAGTTCACCAGGCAAGTATAAAGGAACCAGTGTTGTAGCAGAGCAGGGGTGGGTACGCTTAATAGAGGGAGCTAGTTGTTGCTGAAAGAGACTTTTGGTGGAGGGCTAGCTCCCAGGGGGCAACTTCGAATGAGTTGAAAAGAATGAACAAAAGTACAAAAATGGTACAGGTTTTCCTATTTCAGCTCTTAAAGTGACAGACGAGTCATGTTGGTGCACGTTGCCAGCACTTTCTCCTACTGCCGAAGTAGCTTTTCCCCCCCCAGTACTCCAAGTTGCCTTGTTCATATGGCAGTCACATATAATATATCCTTTTCTTCCCTTATGTGTAAAACATTCTGTGTCAAAGTTCAGATCAAACTGGCATAGGAGGCAAATGCACTGAAGTTTGAGAAAACTGTTTACAGTCTGCAAAAGAGTGCATAACTGCAGATTCAGAAACGATAAAAACTTGTATATCCTCTTCCTCTGTTAATTTTCCTGTTCTCCTTGGTATTATTTTAATATCATGAGTGATTTTGGTACTAATCTGTAAATTAGTATACTGCCAGTCAGTGTGAATTCAGGCTGAACTTAGGCATTTGAATGGGTTACAGAAATTAACAGGAAGAATTTATAAAGCATATTTTTTCCCTTACCTCAAGAACTTATGAAGTCAAGCCATTTCTTGAGGCTCTACTGAGAAATACTTGAGAAGGGAATGAGGGGAAGCACAATAAAGGGAACCAAATATACCAAGGATGATTTTCGTATACCTGTGGTGTCAGGAGGGTATACCCGTGATGTCAGGCAGAGTATAGAGTGCGCCTTGGAAACAGCAATTTTCCCCATCTGTCTCTTGTTTACTGTCCCCATTCAAAGCATGACTATCAACAAAAAGCTTTTTTTCAGAGTGGATATTGAATACTCTTTATGGGTCAGGCAATGTAGCAAACTCCTTACAAGCATTTCTTCATTTCATCTTTGCACCTCTCTATGAAGTATGGGTAGCATTACTGTCCCCACTCAACAGATAAGGAAATAGAGCCTCGACAGGTTCCATAACCTCCTTCTATGCAGTGAGTTGGGATGATATATTCACATTGGCTCCATGTTGATATGTGTTTTTCTATTTCTCTAGAGGGAGAGTGATGTATGTAGAAAAATAGGACACTTAGTTCTGAGTATCTGTGTTATATTTATAATGATGTTTGGCAGAGTCTTGAAAATAGAATTTTGAAAAATTTGTCATAAGATTCCAAAATCTTATCAAGGAATAAAGTATCAGCATTTTGTCTCACAAATCATTTTAATAGCACAAGCTATATGAACTAGGTCCTTTATTTAAAGTGAATCAGTTTGTGGAATATATGATGCTACTGGAAGCCAGCCCCGTTTTAATAAAGGGCCATGCAGAGGAAAGTGTAGGCTGCAAAATGTCCAGTCACATCTCTTAACTTGTGTAAATCGTGTTGCAGACAGCGCTAGACATGTGTGAATGGGTGAGGTATGCCCCGGTTCTAAATGCCTCATGCAGGCCTTTGGCCATCAGCCCGCTGAAACGGGCATGCCACTGAAGAGGGTGCCGGCTGAATAGATGCAGTTGTATGATATTTAAAACATGATTTTGTACTTGTGCTGCGTAGAACAGCTGTTACAGCTTGTTACTTTTCTTTGTACCAGTTTTGACATCTGAACATTTTTAGCTGGAAAAGAATGTCATTTTCATGAAAGAACTTCCTGTACAATAAAGTTAGCATTTATAGTCATCCTAACGTATGCGATGATTTGATAGGCTTGAATATTCTAATAGACAGAAGTTTCCTTTTTCCACTTCCTAGAAATCATTCCCAAGTTTGCAGAGCCATGGGGGAAAGATAGAGGGGGCTCATTTCTGGCATCACATCATACAAAGAAGCAACAGAATTATCGATTTTCGGGAGAAGAGGAACTGTGTCACTCGCCCTTCTCTGCTTCTGCATCATAAGTCAGTAACTATGGAAAGCATTAGCATATTGACATAGTGCATGTAAACAGTATTCCACAGCTGTAATCTCAAGCAGAGAAAGCCTTGAAGGTTTTGGACAGACAGAAGTGGAATCAGAGATCAATATCCTCTAGTTTAAAGATTGTACTTAGGTCTGATAAAACCACCTGGGTTTCCTCAGCTGCTGAGGTCAAGGATGTGGCCGCAAACCCGTGTGCTCATCAGACTATTGGAGTCAAGTCCTCTGTTTGTATACAGTGTATAAATGGGAATGTGGATAAACACTGCCCTCTCCAACCACATAATTACGT